GAATCGATATCGCCATCCTCGCACGAGGATGGGGCTGTTTCAAGAATTAAATCTATGACAAAGTGGAACAGAAACGGAGAGAGAGGGCAAACCTGTCGAACACCACTGATCGATATAACCTCGATCAGGTCTAAAACCAGTCTGGTTCTCACGCGTGCACTGTTTACATACAGCAGACAATCGTCGGAGTATGATGTCGGCGAGAAGTTTCGAGGTTGATCAAACTAATTCATCTGTGGTTTTCACAAGAAAATCTGTCGCCTTTCTTATAAATCGGTATGATGACCGATTCACACCATTCAGTTGGAAGCTGTCCCCTTCCCCGTATTGAGCACAGAAGTTTCGTAAAATCCAAAACTAACACTGAACCTCCATGTTTAAACGCCTCTGGGAACAGCCCATCCGGATTGGAGGCCTTATACCTTTTCATATAACTTGTTTCCCAGGAAGCCTACATTTCTGATGGAGGATTGGTATCAACTTGGAGCATTCGCCCAGTCTATGCGAGGACTAATTGGTCGGATGTCGATGAGGGCCAGCTGAACTAAGTCTCAAAATGTTCAGCTCATCGATCAAAATGGCGTTGGCTGATGGTGAATCAATGTGCCACTAGATTCCTTATTTACCTCACTTAGGCCTATTTTCCTGGGGCCCATATTGCTAATTAGACGAAAAAGAATGCGACTATTACCAATAGTCGCAGCCTTCTTCATCTCATTACACTTTCTTACCCACCACTTCTCGCGGTCATTCTTCAGGCTTTTGATGAGCTGACGTTTGAGGGATTTGCGCGCCGTGTTATATGTGGCATCAGGTGGGAGGATTCTGAGAGCTTCCGGCAGGGCAGCCGAGGTCGACGGGATCCATCGTTTGTGTTTTGAGCCTGCGCCAAGGTCCGACGTAGTTTTTCTCGATATTTGTATAGCTTCCCTGATTTGCTTTCTGTGTTCGTTGAGTCCTTCGGCTGATGTTCGAACCAATGGGCGATCGGAGAGTTCCGCTTTGAAGGCTAATATGCAGCAATCGCTGACAATGTATCGTGGGTATCCGTTGTCAGTGGCTTTTTTGCGGTTGTTTTCCAGGCGTAAGGAGAAT